TGTGGTCGTAGCCGGCCAGCTGCCGATTCTTCTCTATCCTCTGCTCAAGGTATCTAGCCTCGGTGGTGGACAGGCTAGCCTCGAGCTCCGCAGAGATATCGTCCCAAGACCTAGCTCCTTGGAACTTGAGTAGCCTGGCAGATAGCCGGCCGCCAGGCTGTATGCTAGCTCTCTCCTGGCATTCGGCTAGCCTCATGTCCCTAGCCTTTCGCACCAGCTGGAGAAGCTCGTGCTGCTTATCCAGACTTAGCCGATCGTATATCTGTTCGGCCAAGCTAGCCGGGTCAGTCTCTAGCCAGTCCTCTAAGAGGCGTAGCACTTCTATCCGTTGCGCCTGGACGCTAGCCGACTCAGTCTGGTCTGCTCAGCTGGGGGCAGTAGCCATGTGCCGCTAGCCGGCCCGAGGGCACGCAGGCTCGCCCACCTAGCGTGGGCTCTCCAGAAAAGCTGGTGGTCCGTTACTCCACCCTAGCCACAGTAGCCGCGGCAAGTGCATTTGTGCCGTGCCCTAGCCCACAAGTGCACACTCAGCCGGACATGTGCGCATGCAGCTTAGCCTGCCTAAGAACCTCGCAGCCTACGTCCTAGCCAGCAGACAAGACAGCAAGTGCAACAACGTGATTCTCTCCTCTCTCTCTCCTCTCTTCTCTCCCCTTCTTTCTCCCCCTGGGCCCGCCGCCCCCGGAGAGATGGGAAGGAAAGAGTATATCCCGAGAGGCCCCCCCCGGACGTATCCCCCCGTTGTCCAGCCCCGCTGCTTTCCCGGCGTTTCTATCCCTTCAGGCAAAAGGCGGTCCCCAGCCGAACGGAATAGCCGGCAACGGAGCTATCGGCAACTGGGGTACTATCCCCGGAGGTACTCCCTGCAGCTCTGCTGCTGGGACCTCTCCGAAATCTTCTTCCTCTCCCTGCTCCGGCTTCTGGTCGCCGGTGCTAGCCTGAGAGGTGTCGCTATCACCAGACGGGGACTCTTCGCCTCGGCCTTTCGGCCAGCATAGCCTACAGACATGCGTGTACTGGTTGGGTTCGGGCCTCGCCGAAAACTCTTGGGAGTTCTTAAATATCCTACGGCGGCCCATCCAGCACCCGGCCTGGCCCCCCTTGTGTAGCCTGTACTTCTTCCCTGGAAGCTCAACTATGATATAGCTCGTGCACCTAGCCTTCTTAAGGAGCTGCCTCGGCCGGTTCCGGTTGGGTTCCGGTCCCAGCTCCGGCTCACTAGCCGAGGAGTCGGGTCTATCTTCGGGAGGATCGCTCGCCACGACTTCTTCAGGTATCCCCGGACCAGCCACCATCTCCACGATGCGCTCGCTAGCCCACTCTCGTCGCAGCTCTCCCGACAGCTTCTCAGCTTCCTGCTCGCTAGCCTTGCCAGTCCGGAAAAGCCAGCCACCAAGATCGCCGGCTATCTCCCTCTCGTCTAGCTGCTCTTCTCGGTCCCGAGCCCTAGCCGCCTCTGCATAGGTAGCCTGGAGTCGGGCGACCCTTCCGCCATAGGAGCGGATGTAGGAATCCGAGCCCTCGGGCTTCCAGCGTCCTAGCATATCTCTATCTGCCGGCGGGATCGGCTTTAGGCTCAACCCGGTGGGTAGCACTGCTCTCTCACTGTGCTCCGACCAGTAGCCTCGGGCAACCGTCGGGATCCCCACCATAGCCAGCAGCCCCGCTGTAGCCACCATCGCATCTGCGTAGGTAGCCATCTTCTTCTCCAGGGCGCCTCTCTCACCTAGCCTTGGCATGAGATAGTCCCGCTGGTAGCCCGCGTGGTTCTTTAGCAGGTCGAAGCCCGCCTGTAGCCAGCCAGGGTCCTCGAAGTAGGCTCTCTCCGAGATGCATACAGGTAGCTCCCGTATGCGCCTGTTAGCCCCGGTGGTTTTTGTCCGCCGCAGGATGGTGGATAGCCGACCTTCCACCATAGCCAGTTCGTTTGGGACCATAGCCTGGAGGTCAGACCATCGCAAGCTGCCCCAAACCTTTAGGAGCTTAGCCCAGGCCCAAGCTCTCCAGCCGACGGCCACAGTTGTATCCAGGACCAGGCGCTCCCACCTAGCCAGGATAGCCGCAGGATATCGGGGGGCTCGCCGCGTCCAGGGCGCCTTCCAGGATAGCCTCTCGACGACCGTATCCTTGATCGCCCACGCTATCCTGCCTGAGGTAGCTCTCGACTCGGTCGCCCATTCCGCGACCCTCTCTATCCAGCTGATGGCCTTGAGGATCGCCTCGGGAACTGTTCGCCCGCAGGGCTCGTCGCCCCTAGCCATGATGTAGTCGGCCAGGTCGGCCGGTAGCCCAGGGGGGCGTCCACTCTTAGCCTCCCGTAGCCATAGCCGCCATCTCACGTGTATCGAGACGTAGCGCTTGAGAGTGCTAGCCCGGGTTTTCCCCGCTAGCGCCAACACCGCTCTATCCGGGTCCAGGCACCCCTGTAGCTTCTTCAGCACCGGCGCCTCGCACAATTCTAGCTCTTCCTTGAGCTTAATAGCCCAGGTTGCTTGTAGCCTTTCCTCCCTAGCCTGCGCCAGGGAGCCCTCGTTGACCAAGCGCTTCTGCCTATCCCCTTTCGGGGGCTCCGGCTCGCTATCTTCCTGAAGGTCGATGCCTTCGATCGCCGGCCGCTTGCTGAGGTTAGCCCAAGCTAGCGAAGTTGCTCTGTATCCCGACGATCTCTCCACCAGGTCTCTAGCTTCCTGGGCCTCTTGTATCCACAGGTAGATCGAGTCGCCGATGTACTCGTCGTAGCCAACGCCCAGCTCCTCAGCCACTTGGTGCCCAATATCTTCCGCGTCCTCTAGACCGAGGGTAGCCAGCTCAAGCACACCGAAGCCCCGCGACGCCAGATGCTCATGGCATCTATCCAGCACCGCACGCTTCTGCACAAGAGCGCTATCCAACAAGGACGGAAGACCGATGGGGGTCCCTATCCCTCCGGAGGGAGTAGCCGGTCCGACGTCCTGCTCTTCCGGCTCAGCCGTGGGCAAGACGGTTGGACTCCCTGGCTCCTCGCCCCCAGGACTAGCCGGAATCACCGTAGTAGCCGGAGACTGTGGGCTAGCCGTCCGCGAAGCAGAAGGGGAGCGCGGGGAGGCCATTCTCGCTTGGCTAGATAGCCAAGTTCCCCTTCTATCCCCCACTACTTCAAAATTACCCCCCCTGATGGGGGACTTTATCCAGAATGGCCACGGTCACACACCGTCGTAGCCATTCCAAGTCACTGCTATCCTGTCTTCGCATGTCAGAGGCAACTCTCCTGCGAGCGACGATAGCGAACGAAACTTCGTTTCTAGCGAAGCTACCTTCGATAGCTTCGAGTAGTAATAGGTAAGCTAGCACACATAGTCGTAACTCGTTCCTCGTCACGAGGTACTATAATCTATAGGGTTCTTAGATCGAGATTATATAGGGTCCGACACATACACACACGTAGACCCTACACATCGCAACGAAGCACGGATTTTGGCGATGCCGTCGCCAGCGTCTTCTTTGCAACTGAGGGGTTCTGCCATCCGTGCAGCACAGCCCTCGATCACAGCCGATTGGTCCGAACACCAAAACTTTGATAAGCTGGCAGGAACACCACCGTCATGCAACATGTAGTCTGGTAGCTCGCGACTACAAACGTACTCACATAACATTTCCATGTGTTCCATGCACTGCAAGAACTCGGTCTAGGCTTTCGCCTTAGCCTTAGCCTTGGACTTAGGCCCACCTTTTTTCTTTGGAACCGGGTTCCCAGGAGCAGGTCCCGGCTTGCCATTCCCCAGCTCACCACCGGGTTTCGGTCCGTTCTTCTTCGCCTCTGCGAGCGAAGGTGCCACCTTGCTCTCCAAGCTCACGCACTGGCATGCCCTTGGATGGCCACGACTCAGGCTCGAGGATCAAGCCAGGGTTGCCCACAACTAGAATCATATAGTAGATCAATAATTGAAGCCAAGATACAGAACAGAAGCCGTGTCGACGGCAATCGTGATTTCGTCCTTCAACCTCATGCAGAAGTTAAGTGGCATGTACCATATACAAAGTGTGTGTTAAACGATCGAGTTATAAGATTGATACCGGGGAGCTTGTCCGTAACACGGATGTTGGCGGTGGCCTTGAGCAACGACATCTTGTCGTAGTGCACTTCCATGGCGTCCGCGTGCTTCAGCAAGGAGTCAGCATGCCTCCAGGGGCATGGTTATATAGTTGTGTACACATAACATGCATGCATATGTACGGCCTCAGTACGATCCAGGCCTTTTCTGAACATCGTTCATGTCAGAGGCCTGCAGCAACTGGGCGCTTTCACGAAGCTTGTTGGTCTTGTTCCGGATCTCCGTCCATGCCCGATCCAGGGCTGCTCTTGGTTCCTTAGAATTACCGGGCTTAATTATATAGGGTTCTAGAACTTGTGTAGTTAAATAAATATATAGTTGAGACGACGTACTTGCATTGCCAGGTGACATCATCAGCGGCAGTCTTGCCCGAGCCGCTGCTCGGATCGCCTGCTCCATTGCCACCCGTTTCGAAGTTGAAGTCAGGGGTGGGCATCTGTGCAGCTTCTCCTCGCTCTTCATGGGTGCTTTTCTCATTGTCCTTGTGAACGATCTGCCCGGACCACTTGGTTTCCACCCAGTGCTGGATAATCGCTTCATCGTACTTCCATTTCCTGAGTTGGGTCTTCAAATCATACATACGTAGACAGTGCATGGTTTATTTAGAATATAGGATTCCGGGTTCAGGATTTTATTGGGCTTTGGGTTGCAATTGCAGCGTTATTCTGATCGAGCTTTTCGAATTTAGGATCGGTCAAGGGCTTTCTGGGAAGTGTGATAGCCCTACAAGTCTTAAAATCCCCAAACCTCAAAAACAAACCTGAGCCCTTTATGTCTGGCTGCAAAGTGGCCGCTGCAGCTTGGCCGGGTTCTTGGAAGTGTACTCAACAATCTTCTTGATTGTTTTCCTCAGATGGCACAAGCTATATACCCCATAAAGGAAGATTCGAGGCTATTAGCATGGCTAGATCATCCAAGGCACGAATCATACTGTAGCTTCTCCTTCATCTCCTGCTCTGTGTACCAGCCTGCGTCGACGGTCAAGCTCTTTTCCTTCTCCTTTGTGACAAACTTCTTCGTCTTCACAGCGAACTGCTTCTGGCAGGGTTCGATCGATGTAAGGAGCACAAAATGTGTGATGAACACTGTGCACGATCATTGTTCATGATATGGCCTAGCTCGCAAGCCGAGCCTCGTTGAACTTCGCATCCACTAGGAGCTTTGCAAGCTGCTTTCGGTTTCCGACATCCTTGTAGGACTCGAAGGCCTCTTCCCCTCCGGGCACTTTGCCGGATTTCCGGCGTTTGCACATGCGCCGCAATCGCTGCTTCACGGCGTCGGCCGTGAGAACCTTAAGAGGGGCTAGTTTCCGGGGTGCAGAATATGCGGTATTGAGGCTGCATGCAGTCAATACTTGCCAACATCCATATGCCACTTTGTCACTTTCCCCGTCTTGGGGCATAAGACTGAACCCAGTCCCCAATCCCCATCGTCGCCCTCGCCCTCGTCATTGTCGCCCGCATCATCCGAGGACTGATCTTCTTCGGTGTCCTTGTGGGGCTCGGGGATGCTGCATCGAGTGACTGGAGCACCCGATGTGGGAGCACCCGACGTGGAAGCGGTGCCCGGCAGCCTCTCAGCCAGGAGTGCAATCTTCCGGTTCAACTCATCCTGCTTTTGCAACAGGAGCTTCCTCTCGTTTTGCAGTTCGAGAACTGCTGCCTTAGCTTTCGGGTATGGGGCTCATGGTAGCTACAAACTCAGGCTGTCAGTAGGAACAGACACCACACATTCGGACATCCAAGGCACATCATCGGTGGAGTGGCCCGGCTCTTTCTTCATAGCCACCAGCTTCGGGGATTTGGTCGGTTGCACACGGAACGTCTTATCTGTTCTCACCGAAGTAGCGGGGCTTGCATTTCTCGCTGACGTAGACATCGGAGTCGGAGGGATCTCGGAGGCAGGCGTAGATGGCATCTGCAAGGTCTCGGCGAAGAGCGGGTCCAGCTTCTTGCTCGTGTCCTTGGTTGGGATGTATAGGAAAACCAGGAACTAACTTAGTTAATTAAGGACTATCGGGCTATCTGGGGTTTAGAAAGATCGAAGACACTAGCAGGATATTCTCGTCAGAAATAGCAACTGACACCCTGAGATGCACTACAACCCTGCCACCAAGTAAATGCAGATAAGATCGAGTAAATAGTGAAACCATGTGAAACCATTACACCCAGCCCCCCCGTCTTTTCCTCTATAATCATGCAGGGAATATAGGGCTTTTGCGTATTAACTTGTGTATATATATATATATATATATATATATATATATATATATATTCGAGATCATGCATGTGTATGTATGTATGCACATATTCAAATGCACATGCATGCATATATATATATATATATGTATATATATATACATATATGTATATATATATATGTATATATACATAGAAAACACCTGAGTCGTGTTGTATGATCGAGTAGTGTGCAGAGCTTGGGGGTCTAGGGTTGCCGCTTGTAGGCTTCGATGTACCAAGATCAGAAAGGAATTTGGAGACTTTATTGGGTTATAGCGGACAAGTAGCACTGACCTTCGCTTTCTTGGCCGGCGGAGCATCCGTCTCCGAAGCCGAAGCCGAGTCGATGAAACCGCGCAGCTCCTAGAGTGTATAGTTGTTATGAGGCTCCAAGGCACAAGGTCGGTCGACATGTTCATGGAACGTGCACACACTACAACCTCAACAAAAGCCCCACCGATCCTTTATGCGGCGCTCGATCTCTGATCGCTCGGCATCGGCATCCGAGGACATCGCCTCGACACCTTTTGCGAGATCTTCACAAGACCACAGTCTGGAGCCCAGATCCATCTGCCGATCCGATAGTGCACAAGCTGCGTGGTCACATGACAACGTAGACTAGAGACTAGAGACTCGGCAGACAGGCTCACTTTTCCTGAGAATGTCCCTCCACAGCTCTAGGCGTCCAGGCGTCTACTTGAAACAAAACTTTTGGCACGGCCCGACACTAAGAACCAAGAATCACGGATTTCCGTCCAAGACCTCCTTAGTTGGATATAACACCATGATCGAAGCCTTAAAAACAATTAATATAATGCTAATTACAAGACATGCGTAGCTAATGCTGCCCCGGTGTCTTCACGTTCGTCTTCGTCATCACTGCGAGATTCATAGAATATGTTTGTCTGCACGAAGAACTGCAATACATCGGGCATCCTGAGATAAGATCATATACACGTAAAATGAAATGGCATCGAACATCTTGTGACATCAGGACCAGCGGCTGTGGGTGCTTTCTCGCCGGCGCATTCTTCACGAAGAGGTCGATTTTGGACCTGGGACACGGCTGAATGGAGGTTTACGGCTGATCTCTCTCTCTCTCTCTCTCTCTCTCTCTCTCTCTCTCTCTCTCTCTCTCTCTCTCTCTCTCTCTCTCTCTCTCTCTCTCTCTCTCTCTCTCTCTCTCTCTCTCTCTCTCTCTCTCTCTCTCTCCTCTCTCTCTCTCTCTCTCTCTCTCTCTCTCTCTCTCTCTCTCTCTCTCTCTCTCTCTCTCTCTCTCTCTCTCTCTCTCTCTCTCTCTCTCTCTCTCTCTCTCTCTCTCTCTCTCTCTCTCTCTCTCTCTCTCTCTCTCTCTCTCTCTCTCTCTCTCTCTCTCTCTCTCTCTGTCTCGCTCTCGCTCTCGCTCGCTTTGGGAGCATACTCGATTCAACATCAAGAGCTGTTTGGGCAGCTCTGTCGCTGCTGCTTAGGCTTCGATCAGGGTATGTAGAAATATGTATATATATATATATATATATCTATATAGCTTAAAGAGTTTTACATTGCAGGGTTTATAAGCTTCACGTTTTTCGATTTTCACCGCTTCGGCAATCCGGCCAAGGCACCCAGGTATAGTTGAGGCTTATGGGACTTCAGAGGGGTATGTACGTAGGTTTACATAGTTAATATATATATATATATATATATATATATAGTTTTGGGGGCCATTACAAAACCAAACCGATAACCCAGAGAGCTTCCTGCTTCTTACCGTGTAGGGTTTCTACATATGCATGTGTGTATGCGTCTATATGTATATATGTATACATGTGTATATATATGTATGTATATATAGAATATATACATATATATATATATTGAAATACCAAAGTATATTTTTATATGGACATATATATATATATGTTGCTTATGCGTATATACATATATAGACATATATATATATATATATATATATACACACAATGCATGTGTATGTATCTTACGGGATCATATATGGGGTTCTCGAGACCGAAAGCCTCGGTAGCTATATGGGTTTCAGGAATGCACCATTTACAATTCTTGCACTAGGGTCGTACATAGCCTTATATGATTGTATCTAATCATCGATGGATGAAGTGCAAGATGCTTCCAGGTCCACAGAACCACTAAAGCCCCGAAGCCCTGCCAATCCCAATTAAGGCCTTCAGCCCAAAAACCCATGCGTTCAAGCCCAGCCCAAACAAGGCCTTTGCGCCCCTCGATCTAGTTACTAATATTGGCAAAGCACTGAGTCTTCTCGTTGTCGCCGAACAAGGAGCGGATCTCCTTCTCATCGAGCCAGCGAAACTCGACCTGCATGGGAATTATGCAGACCGCAAACTAGCTGAATATGGGTTTGAGACGGGAACGGCCTTCTTAGTCTGCTCCAGAATTTCATGAATGCGATCCCTATTCCCCGCCATTGATGTCCTGCAGGCGGGAGTATGCGGGCTGTGTGTGGCTTCCTAGGGATGCTTACAGGGAGTCCTTGGGATGCACGAGGATGAACAGCAAGAGGGCCAAAAGGGCTGCGCACAAAAAGTAAGCGAGGCACTGAAAAAGTAAGCGAGTACGGGTAAATGTTGACATTTGAGTTCGGGTTTTTTTCAACATAATGTCAACATAATTCGGGTTCAGTACGGGTACGGGTTCAGTACGGGTCGAACTTTCAACATATATGTTGAAATCTGGGGCCGGTACGGCTTAGTACGCTTTTTTGTGGCCGAAAAAAAGTATACGTTTTGTGTTCTGCGTAGAAACCATATGATGGGGTTGTCGATGATCGGTTCGTGCTTTGGAGGAAGGCGAGCTGCGGCGAGCTGGGGCCTTTCGGAAGGATCCTATTCTGTGGGCACTGCATAACTGGCCCTCACAAGCACAACTTCCGAGCCCTCGGACCTCCAAATATGCACAACGAAGCCCATGAGCATCCTGCTTTGGAGGCCTTTTAAGACTCGATCCCAGTAGGTCGAATTGACGAAGCTGAACAGACCCTGAATCCCGCAAGGCGATATAAGTCGGCAAACTTTCTCTACATATATATATATACACATATATATATATATATACTGTATAAATATATATATATATATATATATATATATATATATAGAATTCTTCAATAATTTGGCCGACTTATATAGCCTTGCACAGGAAAGCCTTCAGGACCTCCTAGAACATTGCAAGGTTTTCAAAGATCGTCGGGTTTGTGGGCATCGGACAATTGCTTTCGATCTACGTAATTAAAGGCTCAAGTGTTCGCGTTCCAGACAACATTACCTTCATGCAGGCCACAAACCCAAATCGTGTATGCCCCTATATAGATCGGGAACCCTTGTGCAAATCTAACAAACCTACCAAGTTACGACCCTAAACCCCTAACCTTCGATCTAACCTTATACGGCCGAGCAGACTCCTTAATTTTGCTGACTGAGGAAGATCGATCAAAAGCCCCTCTGCTCTCGGTTCGCTGCTCCTGCCACTTGACAAAATGCAACACCTGTTTGTCGTAAGGACTGGGAGACTTTGCGTTCACCATATGCTACTTAGGCAGGTAGCCACGTAGGGAGCAAAGGCCGCCAGCCGGGTGGTATGTTCAGCGATCGGTTGCCTCTCAGATATCTAATAACTTCGGTCATCTTTGCATCCGACCACACATCGCTGAAATCGAGGCTCTGCCAGATGGTGCGGATGTCCGGGATCTGGGACACGGCGGCATCAGGTCTTACCGGGTTCATAGGGCCATAGGGGTTTCGAAACCGACATATGTATATAGGTCTAACGAGCATGAGAGAGAGAGCGAGAGAGAGAGAGAGAGAGAGAGAGAGAGAGAGAGAGAGAGAGAGAAAACAAAAAAAAGAGCAAGAGCCGAGTGCGAGAGCAAGAGAGATAAAGGTAGTAAATAAGATATGTATAAGCAAGATCGGACGGTTTCTGTGCCTTTCCTCATATATATATATATATACACATATCTAGCAAGGGGTTTACTGCATATGGGGTTTAGGGGAGGGAGAGAGAGAGAGAGAGAGAGAGAGAGAGAGAGAGAGAGAGAGAGAGAGAGAGAGAGAGAGAGAGAGAGAGAGAGAGAGAGAGAGAGAGAGTGTGTGTGTGTGTAAGATATAAAGGTATACCCAATAAATACCCGGTTTGTCCTTTTCTTGACGGTTGGAGTTTACATCGGGCTTTGTAGGGGATCGTGGGAGAGAGAGGGACCCGGGAACGTGGACTCGGGGGCCTATGGATGTCTAACAAGGCTGCCGGTTGCACTCTTTATTGGGACCCATGTACCCATCCAACCCCACGAAGGAATCGGTAATCCTGTAGAATTTATAGAACTAACTTCAGCTTACCCTGATCGAACCCAATTAACCTTACCCTGATCGAACCCTACCATGCTATATGGTCTCAACGTTGGAAGTGCTCACCCTGACCGACCATTATAACCTTAGCATGAGCGAACCCTATACACGTATCTACTATAAGTTTCAAAGTCGGAAGTCCTGTACCCGCATTAATTAAATTAATCCTTACAATACCCTCCGGACACCATATGTTTTGACACGGTAGGATAACACCCTTTCGAAACCCATGCCAAAAAAGCCTATATGCGCTCTCCGTGCTTCTCAGGGAAGGTTGCTTCGGCCGAAGACAGGAATCGTAAGGCGTTGTTGAATTATAAGGGTTGCATAGGCTTACAGGGTTAAACTTATATAAAGCTATATATACATACAAAAACTAATCCTTCTGGGCCCCTTATACTTAGAGCCCCGGCAAAGCTGCCAAGACAGCCTGCACCCAACCTCGTAAGCAATAGGTAGGAACCTCATGCACCTCCTTGCGACCCACAAAGGAAATCCCAGGTTCCTGCTCCGGTGTGAGCAGTGTCCATGTAGTCTACCTGTTAATTAACTTAGCATGCCTGTGTACATATATATATATATATACATACACAGGGGATATGTGTATATACACATCTACATGGTGCCTACTTGTGTATAACTAACTTCTTATATCGATATCCATCTATCAGCCAATCAGATATGTCTTTATATGTCTCTATACATATGCATACGTACATATATTCATTCATATATATATATATATCGTTATAGACCTATCTACCTGTCTATGCACAGCTTAGATAGCTATGCACATGCATACATGACTTGCTACACCCACAGCCATGCACTCATCCATTCCATCCATCCATCCATCCATCCATCCATCCATGCAACCATCAAGACATCATCATGGAATTAAAACACAGCCACCAGTCATCCACCCACCATCACCCATCCATCCATCCATCCATCCATCCATGTATGCATGCATGTGGCTGCATAGGACGAAAGGTAAGTAGGTAAATAAGCACGATCGAATGTAGCTGGGTAGGTAGACAGGCAAGGGTAGGTAGCAAGGTAGGAAAGAATGCAGGTAGCTAGCTAGGTAGCTACCCAAGACTAGGTGGCCAGGTATTCAACAAGGCTCTCGTGCGTGTGTGTGTGTGTGTGTGTGCAATATGCATATATATATATATGTATATATACACACACAGACACACACACACACACACACACGGAGTTAGAAGCATGAAGGGCTATACATGCGTACCGAATAAATGAACCCCTATATCTATCCTGCCTAAGTAGCGTCAACCCCATGATTTCTGCATAATTCAACGTACGGTTTAGGGTTTAGGGTTTAGGGTATATGGTAAATGAATTTAACTGACCGATCGACCAAAGGCTCTGGGCTGACGAAGTCCAGCCTCGCCCCGGTTGTCGAGCTCCGGCGTGCTCTTGGACCCGTTGATATCTTCCAGCAGATCAGCCACTCGCGCTCCAAATTCTGGAGGATAATTCCTGAGGGTAGGCTTCGGTCTTAACATGGATCACATATACATAGAAATTAGGGACGATCGAAACATGTTGCCGTTTATTGCATCAGCCGGAAAGAAACTGAGAAGCTTACTCCGTTTTCTTCAAGTGCTTGGTCCCCACGTACTTCTGCTTGGAGTTCTTGATATAGTGCTTCACCGTATGATTTGACAATGCCTTCTTCCAACCCCTCATTTTCCCCCTGTTCAGGCGATGAATAACAGCACTGTTGGACCATGCGAAGTGTCGCTTCGGTGTTCTGGCCCCGTAGTGCAGCATATACCACACCACTTTGTGAATCTTAACAACGGAACATAGAGATCTGAATCTGGGGTAGTATTGGAAAAAGGATTGTGCAGGTTGCTCTAAAATAAAGCAACCGTCAAGGGCCAAGATCAGGAGGATGAGAATGCAGGTCCTCAGGGTCGATTTCAGAGGGTTCCAGGCTACAGGTATAGACTGACATGAAATTGAGTGGACACGTTTACTAGAAGCAAAGCCTGTCCTCGCAGCTAAGCAGTTGCCTTCCACAACTGATCGTTTAGATGTGTCTCCCATAGGAACCAAGAAGCTTCTCTTGCTCCAGCCCATATTGATAACCGTGAAGCTCGAGCAGACCAAACCCAACCATACGATGCCCTTGCCCTGCACAGCGGACATGACCGCAGCTATGGCGAGCCTTAGCATAGGTAGCATGTTGCCATACAGTCTCGAAGCACTCCAAGGCTTCATGACTTCATGATGCTGCTGTGGTGACAAAGCAAGCCTGAGATCACTGCGACATGCCTGCAGGTGTAAGAAGGTCCATATAGTTCTGGCTCTTGTACTGAACCGCATACAACAGATCGAATTTCTGAGCTTTGTAGCCACAGGCAGCGACATGCTTCGTGATTTGGGCATCGCCGGCGAAGAATTCCAGCCATTCGATAGACTCGGATCAGGATAGCTCAGCATGGAAAGACATGTTGGAATTGCGATCATGACACAATGTCTGCACCGTGTGGCTGCATTTCACGTACAGGGTCACTTTATGGACCATGCAACTGTTAAGGCAAGAGTCGTTAGCACGAATGTTGATATTCTCAGACCAGCACAGCAGCAGTATCGCAAAGATCAGAACCTGCCAGTCCCAATCAACAACCCGATCCAAGTATCTACCATTGTACACGTATACTGACACACCCAGCTCAGGTACAGATCGACCGGGCCTTGGGTGCCCCGAGCTGGCAGAGCCGGTGAAGGAGCAGGTTCAAAGTCGTCTCATTCCACGTTACGGCCATGACAGGCGAAGAGACTGTACGACAAGTTAAGCCTATATAGGATTACCGTCAGACATTTACATCATGATGTACAAACATAGATATGCACGAATATGTAAATATACATACATGTATGTGTATATATATATATATCTGTGGTTATGTATATATATATATATATATGTACAGTTTCTACAATTTATCTATGCATGTATGTACATATCTCTTCATATGTATATATATATATACATATGTACGTGTGTATATATCTATGATATCTATATACCTATGTACACGTACATGCGACTCTAAAATTATAGTCTTTGTTGAAATCCGGGCACTACCAGCCATAAAAAGAAACGCCTGCGAGGCGGCAGTGGTGAGCTAGTCTTAGCGGCAGAAGTCGGCACAAGTGCACACATACATCCAAACCTGCGACCTGCAGAAGCTCCATAGGACACGCTAAGTCCAAAGGGCCCCCCACAAACCCGAAATTAAATAAAGTAAACCCTGAACTCTTATATAACACATTTACACATACTTGGTATGCATAAATATAACTATATATACATATATATATATATGTGTGTGTATTTAACCCTGAACCCTTGACCCTCCCAAGTATTCAGCAACTTAACTGAACTATTCAAGGCCTTCACAGCCTTATGTACGTTGAAAGGGCTTTGGAGTTGAAGGTTCGAGATCTAGCTTCGGGTTTGTCTATATATATATATATATATATAGGGTTCTAGGATTGAACGGCCATACTTGACATTCTATGAAAAATCACCTAGACCCTGAGTCCTCGACTCTACACTTATCCTGCTCGATCGAACTAACCTATATATACATACATGTATATACATATATATATATATAGAGAGAGATACATAATGCCTTTATACGTCTGCATATCTATGTATATGTATATTTACATATACATAGATATTCCTATAAACCTCGGACACTTACAGTAATCAACTTAAGCCCTCAACCCGGCTAGGCCCTTAAAGATCTGGAGGCTTCCAATCTCGCAATCCCTCGATCTGATTTTTCTAGATATATATATATATATATATATATAAACAAGAGACCTGGAACCCTAAACTCCTGCAACCTGTATACTCTTAGGCGAACTGGGCGGCTTTGGTAAGTAGGTACGTTGTACGAGGGCATGCGTTATGTTCGTTTATAATTATATAACTTAAACTAGAATCGAATGAATTTGTATATTTATATAGGACTTACAAACATGCACCAATAATCTCCCAACTCAAACCGTGGACTCCCAGCCCACAGAACTCACAGAACCCCTCGACCCGCGAAGCCCAAGCCCCTCGACCCCGTGCGCCCAAGCTGGTGTTCGACCCATGTAGATCCTAGTTGAGCGTTGAGTACCGCCTGAAACTTTTGCACGGTGCAGAAAGATGTACATGATTCTACATAGCACCGAGTATAATGGTGCAAGTACTGGCAGATGCAGAGATCGTAAGCAGCGGCTAATGCTGCGACATGGAATGCTGCACTGTCGTACAGTTACATATAGCGATTAGAATGTAAGCAGCAAGCCGTATAAACTCTATAGCCCTATAAATCTTATATAACTAATCTCGAACCCCTGAACCCCTAAACCCGAGAATCCTTATATAAGATAACACAAGGAGGCCGCACGAGTGTCGGCATTGGCTCTGCCAGCAGAAGCCTCGGCAACACGCCCCCGTAGAGACTTCGGCACCGGCATCGAAAGTCGTGGACCTGAGCGAAAGAAAGTTGAGCTGACTGAACTCTCATGCACCTAACAGAAGCTGTGGTTTGCGTCAGCTCGGAGCACACTCTAGCAGCTGCATTTCAGAACATATGTAGTTGAAGCTTTTTTTCTGCACGGACCAGAACGATGAAGCCGTATGTTTCGGCGTCCCCAGCCAGTGCTCTAGGCTAGCACAGCATTGAGACTGCAGACATGTTCCGCCTGTCTCCCACCATGTACACTGTACGTGTAGTCATCGGATCATTCTGTGTGTACATACGACGTATATATGCAATGCAGACTTGATGCAGCACTTCATCGACTTTAGATCCGACACCACACACAGACTAAGCACATGAAGCCCCAACAGGCTTTCCACGCACGCCTTCAATCCAATGCCCTATGCTTCGCAAGGCACTAGCAAAAGCTCCCCTGGCAGGCCCTAGGAACGGAACTTCTTCAGCTGCTCCTTCATTTTGAAAACATATTGATTGATGCCCTTCGTGTCCTCGGGATCCTTGTCCATATACTTGGCCTCATGAGGAAGCACAGGACTCTCCGCAAGACAACGACCGATGCAGAATTGTGTTTGCACATGGCAACACAATGTAAAACGTGCAAAGGCCAATGACCATCAAGCCACGCAGTCGATAGCAATAGGCAACAGCTTCGTGATGCACATGCCCTTGGTGCCCAAATACTGCACCTGCAGGCATGGAACAGCTGTAGAATTCATGACAATTATAATTGTGAAGGATGGACCTGAGTCAGCCTTAATGGGTCACGGGCACCTGCTTCCCATCAGAAATCGACTTGATGCCGACACCAGGACGGCTCCAGTAGACCATGACGACAAAGTGGTTCATAGCACCGTTTGCCTGCACCACGCTCTTTCTCAGTGCCAGCCTCTCCTGCACGAAAGCATGTTCGAACCAACAACACTTCCCACACAAACGTTCTTTCGAGAAATCCGGCAATTGTTCCCATTATATAGTTGTTAATTAATTGGATGGCAACTACATATTCACAGGATATCATACACACGATCGAAATTTAACACCTATATATCTCTGCATGCTACAACATGAAGCCGCAAAGAAGCCTCCTCCAGCTGAAGACCAGGTTGCTTCGGCTTGCCTCCTGCTTTCAGCTCCTGCTCCTTGTCATGGCCCTCCGGGCTTCTCTTCGCGGATTTTCCCGTTCTCTCGTCGTCGTGGCCATCCTGGGGTCTCTTCTCAGAGACTCGCGTCGCTGGAGCGCTCGGCGCAGCGCCCTTTCCTTTGCTCGCTTTCTTTCCTTTTCCTGGTCCTTTGCCCTTTTGGTTTCCGTTCCCCCTTCCTTTCCCCCTTCCTTTCCCCCTTCCTTTGCCACTTCCTTTCCCCCTTCCTTTGCCACTTCCTTTCCCTCTTCCTCTCCCCGCTCCTTTCCCTGAGCCCTTGCTCTTGCTTGGCGCACTGATGTCATCCTCCAGCTCCTCCTCTGCTTCGGGCTCGCCGGACTTTTCCGGCTTCTTCTCAACACTCCCGGCCTTCGCCTTAGGCTTGCTTTTAGCAGCCGTCTTGCGCTGCTTCTTCGGCGGCTCCTCGTGAGCCATGGCTTCCGTGCCCTCCGTGCCCTCGGGCACCGGCGGAAGGCCCTCCTCAGCCTCAGGATTGCCCGCAGCATCAGCACCGCCCTTCTCACCATCCTGGCCGAAACTTGCATGCGTGCTACTATTATATATATAAGCTGTATGATACCCATGCATGTTTAATTTAAGCAATTAATTGAATGCATGGCCTGCTTTGCGGCCTTCTTTGCAGCTTTCTCGTCCTTGCGCCGCTTCCTAGAGACCAGCTGTTCCTCGCGACTGATAGCCTGGGAGACCGGGAGATCACTGCAACTGCAACATAGTGGCAGCGAATGTTTCGATCATGCAAAGCCGAGGTGACTCAAGTTATGTAGGCCTAGGGGCAGGCGGGTCTGGAAGACTCGGAACCAAAGCGGAGGTTGAGTTCAATCGTGCCAATCTTGCAGCCTCCATGTCCAAAACACTCGGTGCCGCCACTTGAGTATCATCTGTGTCCAATGCCGCTTTCGAAGGCCCAGTGGGTCCTTGTCGGGATGCAGAAAATGATATCAATTCGATCCTTATATACATACAGCTAGTGCATGCCTTTTGTGCACGTCGAAAACCGGACTTTGCATGGCACAGAAACCGCCCACTCCTGCAGAGCATTTGTCCATAGCATGGCGTCCAGACGATTGAAGCTGCAACCTTATAATTGCATGTTGCATGAAACGAACAATGCAAATCTGGTTGCATGCATGCTTCACTCACACCGCATACCCGAAACGACCGAGACTGCGACAGCTGTGCTTGCAACAAAGCCATCTCACGCATAGCCGTTTCCTTGCTCATCGTGGAGCTGGCTTGGCCTTGCTCTTGCTCCGATTGGTCTAGCTCGGTTGGGGTAAGCTCCTCGCCATCCAGTGCTTCGGGCTTGTCGCTTTCCAGTGCTTCGGGCTTGTCGCTTTCCAGTGCTTCGGGCTTGTCGCTTTCCATTGCTTCGGCCTTGTCGCTTTCCAGTGCTTCAAGCTGGTTC